TCATTTTAAATTTGATTGATTGAGTTTTGTTTATTTACTTTTCTGTAAACATATATAAGTTACAGTATTTATAATAATCTATTTGAAAACATTTAATTTTCCTCGAATATTACAGTAGGGTACGGAAAGTTCCAGCAATTTGTCTTAAAGAACGATGCCATACACCACTAGTTTATAATTTTAATTGTTATTAATTCGAGATTCTGCTATGCCTTATTGGAATTCGTTATGTATGTCAAAAATGTAACGATTTTATTTCTCATTATGGATCTTCTGGATCTCAATTCTTAATTTTTTAGCTTTGCAGATTTTTTGCAATATTATAATATGATTTTTTTTATATCCCTGTTAATTTTAAATTGGACTGTTTACTAAATTTATTTAATATGTTGGGCTTGCTCGTAGGCTAGAATGATTGAACCTAAAGTAAAGGTTCCGGGTTCGACCTGCTTCGAGCAGCTTATTATCAAGCAGTAGTAACAACAGTTTTTATTTGAAAATTTAGATTCCAATATGTTTCCAAGTAAAAATAGCCCTGATCCGGCATTGCTGCATCAATAAATAATAATTCAGTAATAATAATTCTTCACATAGAGGCAGGGCAAATGCTTTGATTGCCACCTGTAGAACTGACCAGTATTGAGTCAAATTAGCACAACAATTTATAGCACTCTTTAGTTTTAACTATAATCTAATACCTGAAATAAAAGAATATTTAATGTGTTAATAAAACTTCTTGAAGAGTTTTTAATTTCAAATTTTATATTTTTTACAAGTTTTTGTTCAGTTTTAGAGTTTTATTACAATTTCGTACCTGTACTTAAATTTCTTATCGTACCTGCTTCATGTATTTGTTTATCCTATCGCAAATCATCTCTTTATGATTGAATAACGAAAACATAAAGGATCGCATATAAATAAAAAAACTCTTCAGTATTATAACATCAAGTTAATTATATATCTTCCATACACTACGCCTTATTAATTGGTACCTGTTATCTTTTATAATATCAGAAGGTCCCATTTAGGATCATTATTTTATATTGTGGTTATTAATTCATACAATATATAAATATAAACAGTATTTTTGTAAGGCCCGGATGTTTGGTCTCCACGATATTTGCTTTACAAATGAGCTTTATTTTACAGCTTGGATGAGACGGTTTGGTTTAATCGTAAACTTGTTAAAATACTTTTAATGGTCTTTTTGGGTTTAACGACTATTTGTACTTTAAATAAAAGAGCAATATAAATATAACAGAGAATATCAATATAAATGTTCGTTAAATTTAACTTCCGTGCTGCAAAATTAAATATGTTTTACTTCTTAAATTACAACGTGTCCTAATTAGTTTGTTATTTTATAAAGGCATTTAAAAAAAAAAAACTTAATAGCTCTTTTTTATTTATAACAAAATTAAATCTATTCACAACGAGTTGCAACTTAGTTTTTGGTTCTGTTATGATCAAGTATAGACATAATATCTTTTACAAAACTGGGATAAATGAAATTCTTAAGTTCAACTACGCATATTATAAAAAAAATCTAAAATATTTTCAGTTGATTGTATTTTTTTTTTAATTTTTTATTGCAGCATTTGCCCAGGATGCTGATGGTGGTTCCGTATGTGCTGGTGACATACCAGATGTCGAAGAACTTTCTGTTAGGCCTAATTTAGCGGGAAAATGGATTTCTTCAGAGTAAGTGAAAAAAAAAATTATTCTAGTTAATTATTTTTAACAAAATTACTGATCATTTTTGTTATAACTATACTTTAGTAACTTTCTTTATTAATTTAGCTCAAGATCGATAATCGAATTTGTTATCAAATGTCTTTACATCTAGAATCTTGTGAACATTTTATTCAAAGCACAACTTTAAATTCGACTATTAAATTCTACAACTATTCTATACATATGAGTTGAGAATTGAAGTCGTACAGAATTGTATGATAATTAATCGGACAATTTTTATTTCTACATATATTCGTAAATAAAATTATACTTTATTAAATATAATTAAACACCTTAAAATTGTGGATTTATATACAGTACCCTTTCGCCGTATAATTAATTACTATTTACCTGAATAGTTATAAGTGAGATTTATTTTATCCACTTAAAAATAAAGGATAAAACTAAACTTTTAGATTTTTTTTTATTAATTTACTTTATTGCTTGTGATTTTAATTTTTATAGAATTGTAATACAAAACGTTTAAGAGAAAGGTAAAAATGCTGAGAACTAATTTTTAATTAATAGATAGATTCATAAAAAAAATTATTCATTTATTTATTTATTTATTCATAGCAAGCAAATAATAATAAATATTATTTTAGGCAGTTCATATAGTATATTCGTTATAGTCAGTCAAGCTTATTCATAATTACTACTTGAAAAAAAGTAATTTTAAAATATTTATAGTAGCTACACTATTTTCGCTTCTGTAAAAATAAAATTTAATTTCTGTTTTTCACATTTTACTTCACATGTGTATGATATAAAATAACTAAATTAATTGTAATAACTAAGATATTACTTTTCTGTATCCTAAAAGTGTCTCATTGACCAAAACTTTTCTCAATTTTTTTTCTTGAATGACAATAAGTAATCGCTAAATAATTACGCTTATATAACTTTGGGGCGCCTGGGCCTGAATCAAAGGTCCCGGGTTCGATTTCGCTTTGAGAAGTCTAATGTCAAGCAGTGGTGACATCGGTTTTCACTTGGAAATATAGATAGCAATATGTTCCTAAGTGAAAATAGCTTTCATCCGGCATTTCATCAATAAAATAATTGCTTCAGGTTTGATCCCAGCTCGAGATCAAGCAGTTTGATGTTAAAATTTCACTTGAGCTTATCTCTACATCCTAAATATAATATCAAGTAATAATAAAATTCATCAAACAGAAGTGAGACAACTATTTGGGTTGCCTAACAGGTTATAGGACTATAAAGCTCTGATTGTTCAAAACCAAAAGAATAAAAAATGAAATAAAAATCACTTACGTAATTATTATTTGACTTTAAACATTTTTTAAAAATTATGTCTATTATATATAAATTAGCATGAGATTAGTATTATTTCAAAAATATTTTTATATTTTCTATTTATATGTTGTACAGTAGAACTCCGTTAAGAATATCATGCTTAATACGATTATCGCATAATACGCACTTTCTTGCACTTAGAAATATATTACCCTAACCCGCATAATACGCTGTCTTGCTTAATAAGCGTTTTCGAATTGGTTTTGGTTTGGTTTTGGTTTGGTTTTTCTGTATTTACATTTTATGGCTTCAATCAATCAATGATTTCATCTTGCGAGTTGCATGCTCTCTGTCTACAATTCTCACCACGATGTCGTATGATATATGGTCCTCTGTCTAGCGTTTGAGCCATCAATTAAACATAAAAATTATACCCTCGTTATATCTCGAGTGGATTGTCATAAACAAACCGATATTATCGGCGTCTCCGATGTCATATACGCGACATTTTTTATGGTCCCATGACTCCAATCTCCAATGTATGCATGGTGATGGTGAGATGTATGAGAGAATGCAAGAATTGAAAAAAATTATGTGTTATTCGATATGATCTTCGTGCGTGGTTTTAGTTATTTGTCTTTAATCTCGACGGTTTAATCTCGATTTCTTGGATTTATAATCGGATATCTTGAATCTCATGACGAGCTACCATAAGGCCACGCGTTCACTTTGAACGACCTTAACTCCAAAACATTTTTGTAATAAAACTCTTAACGCACCATGTTTTCTTGAGCAACAGATGCTGTTGTTGTATGATCAATATGATTACTAACTGGTATGTAAATATTTAGTTTGACTAAATATTTATTACCAGTAAAGTTTGACTTTACTGGTATGTAAATATTTAGTTTGTAATTATAATAATATCCAAATTTTTAGGATAAACTTAAGCATTATCAAATCTTTGTGCATATTGTATGTGTTTAATTTATGACTGATAATACACCTATCAATCTAATCAAATTCATATTTTCAAACTAGTCGTCAGTTTAATTCCACCCTCAGCCAACTTGATATCAAGCAAAATTTCACTTGAACTTATCTCTACATCTCAAATATAATAATATTAAGCAAATGTCGATTTTGCTAGCATTGCTAGCACAAACTAGTCCCAAGTTTGATACCACCATCAGTGAGCTCGATATCAAGCAGTTTGGAATCAAAATTTTAATTGAGCTTATCTCTACATCCCAAATAAGCAAATATTGATTTCGCTAGTATTGCTACAACACTATTAGATATACATTTTCCAAGTTTGATCCCACCCTCAGCCAGCTTGATATCAAGCAGTTTTATGTCAAAATTTTACTTGAGCTTATCTCTACATCCCAAATAATATCAAGCAAATAGCGATTTTTCTAGCATTGCTACAACACTATTAGATATAAATTTTCAATTAAAGACGTGGGCTAACTAATTCCGAGTTTGATCCCACCTCGGCCAGCTCGGTAACAAGCAGTATAACAAAATTCCACATGAGCTTATGTCTACATCTAAAATGTAATCTCAAGGACGTGTACTAGCACAAACTAGTCCCGAGGATGATCCCACGCTCAACCACCTCGATATCAAGCAATTTGATGTCAGAATTTCATTTGAGCTTATCTCTACATCTCAAATATTTGATTTCGCTAGCATTGCTACAACACTATTAGATATACATTTTCAATTAAGGACGTCGGCTAGCACAAACTGATTCCGAGTTTGATCCCACTCTCAGCCAGCTCGGTAACAAGCAGTCTGATAACAAAATTTCACTTGAGCTTTTCTTTACATCTCAAATGTAATCTCAAGAGAAATCGATTTTACTTTCCTTTCGCACAAGGGAAATCGATTTCACCTATATTTTTTTACTAGTTTCGAATTTTGATTCCATCCTCGGCCAACTTGACGATAGTGCTCGATATCAAGCAGTTTGATATCAAAATTCTGAGCTAATAGATCTCAACTCTATTCTCAAAAATCGATTTCGATAATATTGCTGCAACACTTTTCAATGTATATAAATTTTTTAAAGTGTTCTCATGAGAAAATAAGTGATTAGCCGTTGGGTTGCCCTTTTGAGAAAAATACCAGGGTTGAATGTACACAAATCAAACAAATTAATTATCAATCTCTTATAGGGGCTTAAAATTTACAGAAATATAATCAATTTTTATAAACCGCATAAACACCAAATAATGGTTTGTCGTTCAAAAAGTTTAGATTTGTGATTAGTTTTTTATATTTACTGGCAAATGTCATTCAGAATTGATTTGTCTCTCCTCTAGCTTTTGGTTTAGTAAAAAAACAAAGATGTGGGTATCTATAAATAAGGCCTAATAATTACTAATAAATAAGGGAATAACATTTTGTGTAGTTATAAAGTTTCGTTGTGTAATTAATATAATGCTATCTTAATTAGTATTAATTATAAAAATAGTTTGTCAAATATCTTGTGCTAACTCTCATAGGAATTGTTATATTTTTCTGTATAATATATGAAAAATAACTATATGAACAAAGTGCTTGAAACATTTGGGAATCATGCCATACTAATTTTAAATTAAGTATGCTGCAATTGTTCATTTTAGTTTAGACCTGAATGAACTTTTAGTATATAAGTTCAATTTGTGATTTACTAGTTTTGTGTTTCAATTTCAATTTCTGTTTTGATAATCTTTTGGATTACCATGATTGTCATAAAGAGAACTAAGTAAACAAACACACTTCTCTCTTACTTCCTGGAGAACAGACAAGATCAGCCAAAATCTCGACCCATATCTTTCGCCAGATCGAAAGCACACACCACGACTCGAATTCTCGCAAATACCAGAACACCATCGAGATCATCTGTCCTGTTTTTTTATGTTTGTTTAAAGTTTTAAAATGAAAACACCGCAGTAGGTTTTACTTCGAATTAATCAATCAACGTCTCTGCATTGGGTCGCGACGGGATATTTTTCTCTGCATGTGCGAGAGGGAACTTAAGCCTGGTTTCCATGAACAGATCGAATCTTTAAGGTTGACTTTTTTAGATAGAACCAATAGAAATTGGAGAAATATTAGTAGAAAGTAATACTTAATTTATTAAAATTTTTCTTCATTATATTAATCATTTTACAAATGAGCAAAATACATCATGTTTTAGAGAAAGTTTAAATGTTTTTTTTTTTTTTTTTGAGAGATTTGTTGAATTAGGTTTTGAAAATAGCCAGTACATAGATACGTACCCTTAATTTAAAAAAAATTTAAACTGATCTAAAAGATATTTTTATTTTTAAACCTAACAGTTAAACTAAATTTATTAGTCAATATTTAAAGATTATAGTAATGATATTTTATTTAAATCATGCATTATATATTTTATATTAATGATTAAATGAATGCTCATGATTATCATTAAAATTCATAAAATGACCTACGATATAAACTGGTATTTCCACAGGATGAAATATTCAATTTTACTCAATAATTAACATCCCAACAATTAACTTTCCGCAAAAAAATCGAAAATGATTTTTTTTATATATCTTCACGTTTCAGAAGTTTCTGAACATTTTGGCATACCTTGGTGGTCAAAAATGATCATTAGACATATGCACTTCAAATTATCAGATATTTTATGCAGATTCTAATAATGTGTATCAATTTTGTTTACATTTCTATGG